TCTAAAAGAATATAAAGAACTAGGCATTATACTAATGAAATGCATTTACGACAAAATATGATTATAATTATAGGTACTTACTTTATTTGTTTAAAAGCTCCAATGTTCAATGTAACCAACCATTCCACAAGATTCCTCTGCTTTGGAGTCCGTTATTAATAAATCACTTATCTAATATCAATTACAAATAACATAACATTGATTTTCAATAATCTAAATTAAAAAAAAAACATAACCCCAAAAAATCAATTCTTCTTCTTCTTCTCAACTAAAATTATAGATCAAGTGGTTTTAAAACTAAAATATTATAACGTGGCGCCATCTATCGTAAGAATCTTAAACTAAACACACTGGCAACCACAGAAAAAGCTGGCAACGTTGTCAATAGCCTAGTGACGTAATTAGGAGATTTTTTGTTGTAAATATCTCGAAAACGGTAAACTCAATTAAAATTCCGATTTCACAGAAATGTTTAAAATTACAAAACGCCTTGAATAAAACCATAAAAAGTATAGGTCAGAAAAAATTTAACTACCCCATTATTGCAATAATTTCGTCTCCTTTAGAGTATTGTCTAAATAGTAAGAAATGGCCTTTAACCTCGTCCCTGATTCAGTCTTTTGGACTTCATCAGTGCTGGGTAGCCAAGTGGTCTCGAGCAAATCAATGATGCTTTGTGCCATGTTCCACAAAAAATATCCTATTAACTTCAAGCATACGATTTTCTGTTCGGGTGCTCTTCATTTTGTGTCATCCAGTGAATCATAAAATGTCCAAAATCTAGTAGAGTAGTAATGATTGGAAGTTAAACAATTGAAATTCTTCCTTTGAGTTGTCATCAGAGGCGTAATAATGAAGTGCAAAGCATTTCGCTCCACCGCGAAAATTCTGCACTTCGATTTGTATTCTACCATTGAAAATTAACTTGGTTCGTGAGCTGAGCCAATAGATATCGTCGACATCGATTTGTGCGGTCTGTTTTTGAATACGTCTGATGAACGCGATGTCAAAAGGATTATTTAGATGAGGCCGACTCAACAAATGATTCAATTAAACCGATATGATGATTGAACGTTTTTAGCGTTACGCTTTTATTTTTTCAATTTAGTGTTTTTTTACGACAAATGACGAAAAGCTAAAATAGAAACAATAGGGGCATCCTAAAATGATGACAAGCTAAAATGATGAAAGGCTTACTTAACGAAAAGCTAAAATATGGACAATATAAAATGATAAAAGCTGAATCAAGCTCATATGCTGACTGAATAAAAAATAATAACTATGACAAGCTAAGTAGATAAAAGGGTAACAAGCTAAAATGCCAAGCTCATATGATAACATGCAACATAACATACAAAGACTAATTCTAGACCCTTTTTAATATATTTAAATAATAAAATCAAAGTATAATAAACCTCATATGCCTTAAATTCTTGCATATATTCACGGTTGCTGCTATTTATTGCCACTTCCTGACATCAGCATTTGGCAACGTGTTCCAGGAGCACATATCCTTATCCAGGGATCCTCGCGATATTGAGAAACACACACGTCGCCTTTAATGTGCTGCAGATCAACGTAATTCACTTTGAATGCATAAACTTCCTCCCTGTATACATACATAGAATATGTTAATGCATTCCAAAACAAAATTACAGCTACGAATATCAATGATGACGTAATTACAGTGATTGTCTCTTTGTTTACTCTCTTGCGAGGTTTGATGATGTGCGATTACGATCTTACGTGGTAAAACCTGTTGTTAATTAAGTGGATAAAAACGTAAAGCATTCATGTATGAATATGCTAAAATAGTGTAACGCTGAAAACAGACAAGCCACTTGATTCGACACATAACGCAGGACCTCACGTACTATGCTCCACACCTCAAAGTCCCACCACGTGACCACGTACGGAACGCAGTCTTTTGAAAATTTGGCATTTAAGGCTTTTCAGGTTATGTATCTGTCAATGTATAGTCAATGAAAGAAATAATATTTATAGTGTTACCGCTTATGTTTAAGCGTTAAAAGTTAATAAATCTTTATAGTATCACAATAACAATGGTTGGTTTAAGAATTTAGGAATATATATACTGCATTTAATGAAATTCCACATTTCTCCATAAAATAGTTTTAACTAAACAGCATTTATTAAAAAAAATCTAACTTCTCTATTATGAAATAAGAATATCTGTATCAAAGGTAGGTTAATGTATTAGAACAAAAAATATCATCTAATTTTGTATTTTAAGGTTAGAAAAATCTATTTTGACCAAAATAAAAAAGTAGATTATTTGGAAGAGTGTGTTAATATGGTCATAAATAAATATAGGTATACTAAATAATTGTTGAATATGGTTCAAATTAAATTGAAGCTTTTATACTTCTAATGACAAAACTTGTGCATACCTCTCGGCATACCTACTTGGATTATAAGAAAACAAACAATTTTTAGAGAAACTTGCAATGTGAAAATATTTAATACTCCCATGACATGTGATTTATTATAATTTTTAAAGTTATAATGATTTTTCGATGTAGATCAAGTTCAGTCAAAGCTCTTTAACTATTTGTATTCACAAAACTTTATGTAGGTACACTTTAAGCTGGATAAGAAAAACTAGCACATTTTTAAATACCGTATTATACAGTCTTTTAAATAATCCAAAATACTTATTTATTTTAGTCAAAATAAATTTTTCTAACCTTAAAATTACAAAATTAGATGATATTTTTGTTATAATATATTAACCTACCTTTAAATGCTTTTAAGTTAATATTATTGTATGGGGAAAACCAAATATTTGGACCAAATGCACAAAAATATTACTTATTTGGCACCATACACTTTAGAATTTCATTAAATGCAGTATTTATATTCTTAAATTCTTAAACCATCCATTGTTATTGTAATGTTATAAAGATTTATACATTTTTAACGCCTAAACTTAATATTATTTCTTTCGTTGACTATACTTTGACAGATACATAACCTGAAAAGCCTTAAATGCCAAATTTTTAAAAGACTGCGTTCCGTACGTGGTCACGTGGTGGGACTTTGAGGTGTGGAGCATAGTAAATATTAGGGTGTTTCAAAAAAAAATATATATCTATTTTCCAACGGGCTACACCTGAAATAGTTATTTTAGGTGGGAAGAAAGATGCTGTCAAAATATGAACATTTTAGGTTAAATGGAAGATCGGTCTCAACAGATTCTTTTATTTTTTCATGTGTATTGAATTAGTGAAAGATAACACAGTCCCACATCCCCTTGATGTAAGGATGAAGCGCATACATTCTTATGTATTTTGATGCGCTGAATCTAAATATGATAATAGAATAAGCCTTGCGGGTCTTGAACTGGTCTTAACCTCAAAAAACACCTCAGTTTTCGCGATTTTAGGATGATTGTTGAGGTAAGTGCCAAACCAGGACCTGCTGGGCCAATTCTGTAGTCATATTCGAAATTAGGAGGTCAAATTTGTGTTTGTTCTATTGTGTATTAGTCCTTTGGAGGTGACTTTAATACAGCGGTCCGTTCCTACCCCTAACCCGCTTAAGCCATTCAGAAGGTTTCTGGGACTTCTTAGGAAGTAAGGGTGGAACTTTAAAAAAAAATACATAGAAATATGTACAGGGTGATCCCCTATAATGTCGCCCCCCCTTTAACTTTTTTATTTTAAATGTCCCAAAAAATTTAAAAGTGTGGTTATGTAGGACCTAAAAAATACTTTTTTTCTACGTATAAAAAAATTGGAAAATTGATCAGTATACAGGGAAAAACAAAAAGTTTATTTTTTTTTCAATGGATCACCCTATATATGTATTTATTTTTCGATTCCTTGTAAAATTCTAAGCATATTTCATATAACATAACATTTACCTAAATTCAACCGTTCCTAAAATATTTAAATTATTTTTAAGATAATAATTTGAAATAGTTGGTCTTTCCCTGTCTGAGTACGCCATTTTTACTTATTTAACAAGACATATTGACATAATGTAACTATAGTAATTTATTTTCAATAAAAAATTTGGGATACTGAGGCTTCTTGATTTCTAACAGTTTATAACATTTCGAATGCGAATATTTCAGAAACAGTTGAATTTAGGTATATGGTTTGTTATATAAATTATGCTCAAAATTTTGCAAAGAATCGAAAAATAGATTCATATATAGGGTGATCCATTGAAAAAAAATAAACTTTTTGTTTTTCCCTGTATATTGAATAATTTTTCAATTTTTATTTTACGTAGAAAAAAAGTATTTTTAGGTCCTACATAACCACACTTTTAAATTTTTTGGGACACTTAAAATAAAAAAGTTAAAGGGGGGCGACATTATAAGGGATCACCCTGTACTTCTTATCTCCAGATCATTTTTTGTGTTATCGTTAGTAAACTATTTAATTAACTACATTAAATTGTCTTTCAAATAAATTTTTCCTTATCTGGTATTTAATAGTGGTGGTTAAATTATCATAAAAAAAGTAAAAAAGTAATGCTTCTTCTGGATTTCGATCTCGGTTCGTCTGCATGCAAAACGAGAGCATTGTCGTATGAGCCACGGCGCCTTGTACTAAAATTTGAATTTAATTACATAAACTTTACTAACAATGTATTTCTGATCAAAGTGTTCCGTGGTAAACAATTGGTTTAATAGTAATGTCAGTGCTGTAAGACTTAATTTCTCGATTGTGTACCTATATAGTGTTTGCGGCTGAAATTTAGAATAAAAAATGTCGATTAATTTCACGGCGGATATATATTTGATTGGTGAGGAATTAAAGGAGCTCCCAAGTTTTCAGCTACCAACACATCGAAACGTTTTGAGCTATTATCAATACAAACAACGCTCATCTCCTAAAACTACAGTTCGTGATATTGCTACAACTATCTTAGATGAAGTGTATACTATTTGGAGTAAACTTAACATACCATTATGTCAGAAAAAAAATAGCATTACTAAATTTGAAAAACTACATCGGCGATGGAAGATGTTACGAAAAAATCAAAGTCGTATTAACTCCTTAACTCAACAAAAAAAAGAAAAAGGGTTCGAAAAAACCTTGGATACTATTTTTAACATAAAGCGACACGATAATGATGTATCATTGGAGAAATTACAGGAACTAATGGATACTGCATGTCAGAAAGGTAATTAATTGAACCCCTTCTGCAATAATTATTATCCTATGAAAATATAATAAACGGACTTTTTATTTTATGTTACTAAGATCGGAGCGAAGCTAATAGTCATACGAGTATATCCAGTACGGATGATTTCCTTAAATTCGACAACGCTTCTCAACCACACCGAGAGAAAAACCTAGGTAATTTGTGCTTCTGGATAGCATACCTATTCTAATGTATAAATCGCTTGATCACATTACTTATGAATCCATTTTATTTTATAGACCTGAGTCAATCATTTGATTCAGATAATTGTTATGAGAGTGTTTCGCAACCATTGAAAAATCCAGGAATTGTATTGGATAAATTACCAGTCACAGATTTGAATGAGATAGGTAATACAAAGTAATTTCAGATACTTGTTTTTTATGCTAGGGTTGCTTAATGAGGAAAAATTAAGGCAATTAATAATTTTTCAGGACCAAGTCAAGCTTTAAATTTGAGTCACACCAGCAGTGAGATATTAAGTGGAAGCTCTTCAAATTATTCTGATCAGTTGTCAAGATATCACCTACGGAAACGTCCAAAGCTTAACATTGTCACGGAGAATGTGGCATTAGCTCTGGATAGAACAAAAACTAGCAGCAGAAGTGCGGCGCATATTTTGGCTGCCGCTGCAAGTAGTTTTGGTTATAAGCTTGATGACTTGAATCTGAGTCACAGTTCTATTCACAGAACTCGTATGAAAGTAAGGACAGAAGTAGCTGCTCGATTGAAGAAGAATCTACAAGTGGCAGATCATCTTACAGTGCACTGGGATGGAAAACTGCTTCCCGAATCGGGTGTATTAAAGAAAATGGAAAGAGTACCCGTAATTGTGTCCGGACTTAATACTGAGCAATTACTGAACGTGCCGAAATTTAACAAGGGATCAGCAATAAATGAAGCTCAAGGTATTGCAGATACTATATATGAATGGAATCTCAATAATCGAATCAAAGCAATGTGCTTTGACACTACACCTTTGAACACAGGTAAATTAATTTACTTATTTTATTTAGGTATTAAACCTGTTATTGGGTTTCTTCTCGACATCGTATTAATCTTTCCTATTAAAGGATTTAACACTACACCTTTGAACACAATTAAATTAATTTACTTATTTTAAGTAAAGTTTTCGATCCTTGGACTTATTGTATTAATCTTTCCTATTTCTCTATTTATTTCTTTAAAGGTCAGAAAGGTGGAGTCTGCGTCTTGTTAGAAAAAAAGTTGGGTAAAAAATTGTTGTATTTCGCATGTCGTCACCATATTTTTGAATTGGTATTGAGAGCGGTCGTTGAAATTTACTGGCCTGAGACAACCGGTCCAGACATGCCCACTTATAAGAATTTTCGACGTATTTGGCAGGAAATTGATCAAAGTGATTTTGAAATTGGATTTAATGATAAATTAATACGCCAAGTTCTTAAAGAGGACAAAGATAAAATCCTTGAGTTTTTACAACTTCGATTAAAGGTACGCTAGCAACGATTATTGCCACCATTTTTATTTAGTTATTACTTAATTATAGACTTATTCATTTATTCATTTTTTTAGGAATCCCAACCCAGAGATGATTACAAGGAATTCTTGGAACTTGCTTGTATATTTTTAGGTGGTGTTCCACCTAAAGGAATTGCATTTAAAGTGCCAGGAGCAGTACACCATGCTAGGTGGATGGCAAAAGCCATTTATTCCTTGAAGATGTTTATGTTTAAGAAACAATTGGGTATTCAAAAAGTGGAAATCGATGGTCTGCGGCAGATCTGCATTTTTATTATTCGTTTCTACGTAAAACCGTGGTTTAATGCGCCAAATGCTATCAAAGCACCCAATCAAGATTTGACATTGCTTCAAAGCTTAATAAAGTATCGAAAAATCAATGCCAAAATCTCAGGCGCAGCTACTTCCAAACTATGTGCCCACTTGTGGTATATATCCGAATACCTTGCACCTTTGGCTTTTTTTGATGACATGGTCTCAAATGCAACAAAATTAAAAATGATTCGTGCAATCAAAGAGCGAGAAGGTACACATCCAGTCCCAACACGAGTTATAGTTAAAGAGGCTGATTATTTGAAAGTGATTAACAAAGATATAAGTGATTTCGTCACAAAAAATTCATTGTTTTTATTTGAGCAATATGATTTACCCTATGATTTTCTCGAAGTAAGTCCGGAATTATGGAAAACAGAAGAGTCCTATGTAAAGTGTGTAGAAGTCTTGCAAGGGTTAAAAGTAGTTAATGATACTGCTGAAAGAGCAGTTGCTTTGGTCCAAGATTTTAATTTACTACTGACCAAAGACGAAGATCAAAGGCAATACCTTTTGCAAGCTGTCAAATTTTATCTAAAGCAGTATCCCACCTGTCAAAAGAGAAATCTCACCTTACTTTTATAGGATATGTACAAAAACATGTAACTAATTTAATTTAAGACTTCGTGGGATATTTAGAAAATTTATAAAGGATCAATAGGACAATGACCTATTTACTAGATAAAACGAATAAAAGAACAATTAAAAATGTTAAAAAATTGTTTTAGATTGTATCTTTTCATTTGGCTTATTTCTGTTCATTTGGTTTAGTTTTAATTTTTAATTCATATTTAATAAAAAATATCGAATACGTTTTTTTAATTTAACCACCACTATTGAATACCAGATAAAGAAAAAATTATTTGGAAGACAAATTAATGTAGTTAATTAAATAGTTTACTAACGATAACACAAAAAATGATCTGGAGATCAGAAGTACATGTTCCTATGTATTTTGACATCCTAAATCCGAATATGACTACAGAATTAGTCCTGGTTTGGCACTAACCTCAACAATCATCCTAAAATCGCGAAAACTGAGGTGTTTTTTGAGGTTAAGTCCAGATCAAGACCCGCAAGGCTTATTCTATTATCATATTTAGATTCAGCGCATCAAAATACATAAGAATGTATGCGCTTCATCCTTACATGAAGGGGATGTGGGACTGTGTTATCTTTCACTAATTCGATACACATGAAAAAATAAAAGAATCTGTTGAGACTGATCTTCCATTTAACCCATAATGTTCATATTTTGACAGCATCTTTTTTCCCACATAAAATAACTATTTCAGGTGTAGCCCGTTGAAAAATCTTTTTTTTTTTTTTTTTGAAACACCCTAGTAAATATACATGTGAAATGATCGAACATCGCCAAATGTTGTCACTATGTAATAAAAAAAATCAATATTTCCTACACACACTGTATTTTGGACTTACGAATCAACAGAAAGAGGAGATGCAGGGAATCACAAAGGGATTAAAAAACTTGTCTGACCCAGTAGGGCCACCAATGGGCCCTAGGGGACCCGAAATTAAATATGTGTTACTGACAGTAAAATTGAGTTTATTTATATCATACAGTACGCTATCTGATCATCATTGTCATTCTCCTAGTTGCCATCGTTAGCCTAGAATTCAAAAAGCGTTATACTTGACATATATAGATAAAAACAACTGTAGAATTTGTTAAAGTCAAAATAAATTAGGGCTAGAAAGTTGGAAGACTTTTCTTGAAAAATAAGGGATAATCAGGCATGTAAAGCCATCAAACTCTGGAAACTTTTCTGGATCTTGAATAATTGCTGCATTTGCCAACTTTTTTTTATTTAGATTTTAGTTAAAAGTAAAACTTATTTCATGCCACCGACTAAAATGTAAATTGGCCGTAACTTTTTTGAATGAAGTATCACTCATTCGGCTGCCGCGTAATAAATGTCATTTTTTACTCCGGGCCCTGTTTAATTCGGAGTCATTAATTTTTATGCGAGTTACTTTTCATTTATAACTTTGCTTCGTGTAATAAACGGGATTTTAATGTAATTACCAAAATGAAATAAAAAAATCGCGATTAATTCGAACGTCGATTGCGCCTAAGATCTTTTTCTCGTCCCTTTTAATTCCCATTCCCCGCTGCATTTTCCATTTTGCAAATTCCACTGCAACTAATTTCATTTCAGTCTATTAATAATTCCAGTAAATCATCCGTGCAATTTTTCAGCAAGTAAATATTTATTCAGCGAAAATTAAAACTACCATGGATGTTTTTACAAGGACATATTTTCCAAGATAAACATAAACAGGTACACTGTTATAAAAATCAAATTTGTTAACATGAAATTGTAGTTTGTAATTTGATTTTGTAAAATTTTAACACTTTTTGTAGAAAAATAGGATTTGCATATAAATATATATATTAGGGTGGGCCAAAAAACCTTTTAATTTTCTTTTCTTTAGCTACCATGAAGATATCGTCCAAGATGACGAAAAAAAAATTCTGATAAAGTTTGAGCTCTTAATATTAATATTAAGAGGTGGCTCATCGCGATTTTTTATTTTCCATTTAAATAACACGGGAAAAAAACATTTTTTTGTTTGTAATTTTATTGCGTTAAACGAATCAGTAAGTTGTATAATTCATACATATTCTTGTAGGGAATTGAACGATCTACAAAAAAGATGTGATATAATTTTTTGCTAGTCGACTCTTTTAAAAGTTATTTGAGGTTAAAGTTCAACTCAAATAGTAAATTATGACTTTTATAGTTTTTCATACTCTATCACGAATTATTGTCTCAAAAACATGAAATATCATATTTTTCGTGAAGTTTATCGAGTGTTCTTCGGTTCGGCTATATAATATCGGGAATTTTCGTTTTTTGAAACAAATATTTATTTATTCGTCTACATTAATGTTGTCGCCTTCAAAATAGTCCCCATTGGATATTATGCACATGTGCCAGCTCTTCTTCCAATACTCGAAACATTTCTAAAACTCGATCTTTGGGATAGCCTTTAGTTCTTTCAGCGATGCGCTTTTAATGTCATCTATGCTTGCAAAACGACGGCCCTTTAAGGTTATTATTTTGGGAATAGGAAAACGTCAGACAGAGGCATGTCTGGCGAATATGGAGGCTGGGGCATCATTACAGTATTGTTTTTGGCCAAAAATGTTGTTCAAAATTTAAAATTTTAGAACAAATTTTGCTGCCACGCGTTTCATACCCAAAACATTCGAAAAAATTTCATGGGATGAGCCAATCGATATACCAACATCATCAGTGACTTCTCTGATGGTTTATAACCATTTCTTTCACTTTTTCCATGTTTTTATCGGTTGTTAATGCGCTTGTGCGTTCGGGGCGTTCGTCATCTTCAACGACTTTACGGCCATCTTGGAAACTCTTATACCACTTGTAAACTCTTGTTTAACTTATAGCAGACTCACTATAGGCCTTTGTTAACATTTCACAGAATTTATTTCATTTTTAAGCAAAATTGGATACAAATTCTTTGATCCATTTCTTTTAACGAACGAAAAATCGCCGAGCTCATAAAACACGTCTAACCTTAGCGGCTGCCATAGACAAAGTAAACAATGAAAACAGCTAAAGTTCTTATCATACTTCGGGGGCATGTATACCAACATAATAAAGAAAATTTTATGACAACCGGACCCTCCGAACCCGCGAAATTTAACAATTCCCGTTATTTTCTGAACACACCTTGTTTCTTTTCTTGATGGCAGTAGGTGAGTTGTGTGTATTTTGTAAAGTGCGACAAAATAAAAGCGCTGCGCGATTTTTGCGAGTGAATCGGGTCAAAGGAGGTCGTAGGGCTGAGAGCCACGTATTACTTTTGCGTTAATGATGTGCACCCTGCGCAACTGCGTTCGTTAAAAATGCGCTATTCTTATTATAATGCGACAGGTAGACAGCATCAGCGGGGTTGCAGAGTCGCGATAAAATAAGAAGCGATACAAACCGCACGAGCTTTTCAGGAAATTCAAAAAGTGTCCCATTTAACCTAAATAAAACCTTCGTCGTCGTCAACGCTGTAATACTGAAGCTTTTATATTGATTAAAATATTCTCCAAAATAAATCTAAGGCTTTCAAACAATGTTAGTGTAGCGTACCAAGACCCAGATAAAACAATTTGTATTCGGGTGAATATATTGAGATGTCCCCAAGTCAAAATGATTATTTTTTATTTTTGGTTGTTTCACGTATGTTTTTTTAAACATCCCTTTGTATATTTGAGTTATTGTATCTTTTGACACCTTAATATTTAAAAAAAATACAATTGTACATACATAAAATATTTATAAAAAAAATCTACTTACTGATATATTAGACCGGATTTTAGACCCTTAAAAATTGGAAATTAGGACACATAAATAGGCAATAAAAACTTACATTTTAGGCCGTTTTAGGCCGAAAGTGCCTAAAATAGGCCTCAACCGCCTAAAATAGGCGATATGAAATAAAAACAACACTATTAAACATAACATTTATTCAGGTCATCGTAATAAAAATAAAACAAAAAATACATATGTATCTCTTAACATAAAATACATAATAACAATAATAACACAAACTCTTGGTTTCCACGGGCGTTATATGTATTAATAGTTTTTCGGGATCTGCTCCGTGTTGTCGGTTTTTGGTTTTTAAAAGAACCGTATGATCTGACGACGTCTCCGTACAATCTCATGTACCATCTTCAGGTCTTATCTGCTGGGCTGCTGTTGCTGCTCTGCTGCGAGTTAGACCGTCCACGTCTAAATTGGCTTTAGCCATCTATTGTCTCTATAGAAAAACTATTTACCACCTGTAAATTGTGGAGATTTATTTAATTATGCCATAGATGGCGACAAATTATATTACTAAATACTGTTAAAAAGTCTGAAATTACCATATATGTAATACATACATAGAAATTGCAGTAAAACGTATGAAAACAAAGTAAATAATAATTTTCAACCAATATTTTACAAAATTAATATTATCCATAAATATTTATAATCAATATTTAGATAAAAACACAATTTTTTTTTATTGAAAAATTAAAAGAGCCCATATTTGGCTCATAAAAATGTCCTCTTAGGACAATAAATCAAAATTTCGCCATTTTAGGCTTTTAGGCAAAAACAAAGGGGTGTCAAACGCTTAATTTTTTTTAAGTTTAGGATTAATATCAAGGTCCGAAACAAATGCCTAAAATAGAAACAAAAAGGCATTTTGACTAAAATCCGGTCCTTGGATATTACACTTTATGGTGGATAGGTTTTTAAATAGCAAATTAATGATCTTAAACTTTTGAATTATAAAACAGCAACACTCTCATCTGCATA